TGCTGGGCAGATCCTTCACTGTACGCACAGACCATAGTAGCCTACAGTGGCTAATAAGAATGAGAGAACCGGAGGGACAGTTGGCCAGGTGGCTTGAGAAGCTTGGAGAGTATGACTTCAAAGTTGTTCATCACCCTGGGCGCTGTCATGAAAATGCTGATGTGCTTTCCCGGAGGCCATGCCGTTCAACTTGCCCCTGCAACCTTAAGAATCCCATCTCGATTAGCCCTCAGCTCTGTCACCAGGCAGTTCAGTGTGACTTTGACGGCAAACTAGTAAGTAACGTACCTGCAGCTGTTACCACGGAGTCTTGTCAAGTGGGGGTAGTACAACCTGCCATCACTGCCAGTACTTCTTCATTCTCTGGGTGGACTACTGAAGAACTGCGTGCTGCCCAAGCAGCTGATACTGATATCGCTCCCATCAAGAGGTGGATGAAGGAAAGCATGGAATGACCCTCCTGGGAAGATGTGTCACCCTATGGGCCGGCAACATAAGTCTACTAGAGTCAGTGGCAAAGACTGTACCTAAAGGATGGCATTCTGTTACGATGTTACTACCTGAATGAGGGCCCTGAGTTTTACCCCCAGATTATCCTGCTGCGAGTTTTCCGGAAAGATGTCATGCACCAGATGCACGAGGGGCTAGTGGGTGGACAGCTGGGTGTTTAAAGACTCAGAAGTTTGGCAACCTCAGGAAGTTCCTGCCCCAGACCTGGGAGTCGATGGAGCTGAACTTGACTTGGATCTGTCTTGTCTCTTCACGGAGGAAACCAGGAATTCCGGTGGCCCAGACAGCATGTCTCTCATGGATGACACCAGTGTGCCGATGACTGAGCAGGACACAGAGGATGTTCAGTGGAGAGAAGGTAGCACTATGCAACAGGATTTAACAGGGACTGTTAACGACCAAATGAGGCAGGAGTCAGGAGATCACCGAGGAGGTTTGGGGACTGGACTAATTGATTATTAAAGACTTAAGGGGAAAAAAAGAGAAAGAAAGAATATTTTGTTGGCAATTTGTTATTCTTATACAATTGTTCAAAAAAATAATAATTGATGCATGTCATCTGTGGAAAATATTATTTAATGTGTTCCCTTTTTGTAACCCGGGTGGATTTTGTTGTTTACCATTTTGCTGTTAAGGAAACAAGCCAAGTGTATGTTTAATTAAGCCCGAGTTGTTTAATTTGTATGCAACGGCTGTTGTTCTCCTCTTTTCTTTCTGCAGGCCAGTAGTGGAGAAGTCAGTCGGTCACTCAGCTGGCCTTAACTAACTACCTCACTAGTCATGTTGGGACTGAATTACTATTGCTTCAACGAAGGCCCCCCCTTTACAAAGCTACTCTTTAACCCCTCCCGGCACCGTGCTATCCTTTCACCTTATGGACTGTTTACCACGTCACGTGGGGTTGGAATATATCGGCCAGTGCCTCCATTGAGCGGAGTTGCTTGAATGGACTGTGTGCTTTGACAATGGAGCTGCCTACGGACTGTTGATAAACAAATTTAAAAAAAGAAGGGATAAACGAACATAAAAAATTTAATATGGGTAGACATTGTGTTGAATGTACTTTTGCCTTCTATTAACACTGTGAATCTATGGTAATATACTTGTTAATGTGTGTGATGTATTTTGTATCAGTCATGCCATGGTGCTGGAGTGGTGTTAAGTTTAATCACCATCCAGAGTGGGGGTAGTGTTGCGGGAGAGAGGAAAAAGGAGTTGCCGCTTTAAGACAGCTATGTACGGGAGTTGTAGCATTTTACTCAGACTAAAACCCCTTTATTTCGGACGAGAAAGCGTTTTTTGTGTGTGTGAGAGTGGCTTTTGCACATCCTGTCATGCCTTTGACTGCGTGCCGCTGCAATAAGGTTAACGATTAATCGATCGTTAATTTAAACAACGATCGATCATGGAAATGATCGAAAATTGACATCCCTAACAGACATATTGATAAAGTGAGTTTGGAAATGCAACATTCTCCACCCATTTCACCATATTTATAATTTTACATTATAATAGTGTTATTGCAATCACAATGTATTTCTTTCATGATTTTATAATTGATAATAATTAATTTATTAATAATTTATTGTAATTAGATTTTTGGCCAAATTGTGCAGCCTTACAAACAGGCAAAGCAAATCTGGCTCTCTTAAAAAACACATTCAAGATCAAAATCTCAACACAGAGAGAGAGAGAAAAATACTATAATTTGCCATTATGTTCCCAAATATCTCAGAAAATCTTCTCTCAAACCTGATCAGATCATCAGTCAATATGAACCTGATCCTGCAGAGACATTCAAGTGTCATGAAAAACAACAAAAGGTCAAAAAAGAAAGAAACAAACCTGGAGGAATGAAATCTTCATCATCATCCCCATTATTCTCATCCAACACAGAGAGAGAGAGAAAAATACTATAATTTGCCATTATGTTCCCAAATATCTCAGAAAATCTTCTCTCAAACCTGATCAGATCATCAGTCAATATGAACCTGATCCTGCAGAGACATTCAAGTGTCATGAAAAACAACAAAAGGTCAAAAAAGAAAGAAACAAACCTGGAGGAATGAAATCTTCATCATCATCCCCATTATTCTCATCCTCCTCCTCCTCTTCCTCATCACTGTGTTGTTGTTCTTTCTCTGCGGTGGTTTCTTCTCCTCGGCTCTCCATCAGGTTCCTGCAGTCCAGCAGTTTGACGGAGCACATCTTCAGCGGCGTCTGCAGCATCTGCTGTTCTCCAGCGTTACAGTCAGAGGTTTGATCAGTGGATTCATGATCCTGAGCGTCAGTATAACAGAGTAAAGTGAGGCTGAGCTCTGAGTCCTGTGTGTCTCTGGATCTCTGATCTCTGACGCTCCAGACTGAATCCTGAGCTTCTGTCCCATCAGCCGCACGCACTGAAACCTGCTCCACATCCTGACAAACACAATCAGCTTATCAATACAGAATCATATATCAGTTGATTCTGACACTCATGAATCAACTTTGAAACGTAAAGGGATAGTTCACCCAAAAATGAATATTCTGTCATTAATTACTCACCCTCATGTCGTTCCAAACCTGTAAGACCTTCGTTCATCTTCGAATCACAAATTAAGATATTTTTGATGAAATCCGAGAGCTTTCTGACTCTCCATAGACAGCAATGAAACTGAAATGTTCCCGGGCCCAGAAACGTAGTAAGGACTTTGGTTAAATAGTCCATGTGATATCAGTGGTTCAACCGTAATTTTATGA